CACTGCATACTGCTGTTCTCTGAGCTTATTATCAGACCACTAGCACTAGACCTGCAATGTGATTGTAACACCAAAGCACCACAGGTATCCAGTTGCATTTCACCTCCATAGCTATTACCATAGCCTGTGTTTCTGCAGACAGTCTGGGTGCTTACACTGCAGGGAGTGGGAGATGAGGACATTAGTAATTCTTTTTTCCAGCCTGCATGCCAGAATGGGTTGGGGTCTGGCTGTTCCCAGGCCAGCAGCAGTCCACACATGGCGCTGGCTCCCAGACTGGGATTGCTTCCTGGTGTGGCTGTGTTCTCTCTGCCCCAGTCCCCAAATAGTGTTGACTCATGGGGAGAGGCTTGGGTCTGGCTGTTCCTAGTCCAGCAGTGGCCTACACATGGTGCTGGTTCCCAGATTGTGCTTGCTTGCTGGTGTGGCCCTTATTCTCTCTCCCCGCTAGATTCTCATATTTAACTGATACAAATATATATATATACACACACACACACACACATATATATATATTTGAGCAAATAGATATGATGCCACATAAATGGCAAGTAGAACCCAAGAGTGTTCCAGCCAAACAGACAGCTGTGGTGCTTGCCCTTTTCTAAAGACAAGCAAAAGCCCAGAAACAGTACTATATAGGATACTTGAGAACAATTCAAGGAGCAGATGACAGAGAAAAAGACTACAAGCCAAGAATCCCACATTTATTCAACTTATGGTCCAATCGCAGTGAAAAAAGGTACTTGCAAATGAGCAAAAATTGAGAATACAGTCTTCATATCCTGTGCATTGAAAACGTGTGAGCTAGGAATCTAAGCAAAGTAAAAGTATTCATAAGACATAGATTACTTTTAAAAATCTAGTCAATCTAATATACTTATCCCTGTTATTGGAGTTTATTTCAGTATTTCTTAAAATTTAGTAAGTCATGTCTATATATGCAAATGTATTTAGAAGAAAATCTTATTTTGGGCCCTTTATTACATATATTATAGGAACAATTAGGAAAAAATATATAAACATCAAGTTCAAATAGTAAAACATCAAGAATCTCATTTTCTTCATTTTTTGTTTTGTTTTTTGAGACAGGGTTGTGCTATGTAGTTCAGTCTGGCCTTAAACTCACTATGAACCCAGACTGGCCTTGAACTCATAATGTTCCTCTTCTGAATGTTGGGATTACAGGTGTGTACTACCATATATTGCATCAAGAATCTTAGAAAGTCACTGTATTTTTAAGATGTGGTTATAAATAAGAGGAGGAATGAAACTACCATGAAATATTTCATCAAGTAGAACATTATACCAATATTGTTAATATTTTACAGGATGTTTTATAAGCAATTAATTTGAATACTTTTCTTTGTTTATATTATTTTTCAATTGTAATAAAATTTCTCTTTGTGCAATAGAAAATCTCCTGTGAATTATGTTATCAAAGTATCTAAGATTTTTATTTCAAAGGACACTCACTGCTTCTAAGGATAGTCTGATATGTATACTTTGTAATTCTTACCTTTCTTAGGAGCTACTAGTCAGAATATCATTTCTGTTTTGCCATTATATTTATGTTATATGGTGTAAAGTTTCAGGTTAGTACCAGGGGTGGTAGGTAGATAGCAGATATCACAAGCTGTTTGGTATAGAATTGAAACTGGCCCTGCCCAAACATGTTTACTGAAAGAAAGATAGTCTCTTAAATAAGTGGTGCTGTAAAAACTGGCTTTCCATATGTTGAAAACTAAAAGTAGACCCACACCTATCATCATGCACTAAAGTCAAAATGGATCAAAGATCTAAATATTAAAACAGAAACACTAAATCTGCTGAAAGACAAAGTAGATAGAAATCTTGAAAACATAGGAGTAGGCAGAGAGTTCCTGAACAAAAATCAAACTGCACAGGAAATCCTTCCCAGAATCAACAACTGGGATATCACCTTATTAACAAGTTTTTGCATGTCAAAAGAAATCTCCAAGAGAAGGAGGATGAAACATGAACTGAGTGTGTCTTAGTCAGTTGTCCCTCAGACAAAGGACTTCTACCTGGAACATACAAAGAATTAAAAAAAAAAAAATCAGGTCCCCAAAATTCAAAGACACAATCCTAAAATGGGCTTTTGAGATGAATACACACTTCTCAGATGAAGAAATACAAATGGAAAGTAAATACTTGAAAAAATGGTCAACATCATTGGTCATTCGAGAAATGCAAATTAAAACAACACTGAGATTCCATCTCACTCCATAAAGAATGGCCAAGATCAAGAAATCAACCAATAGTAAATGCTGGCGGGGTTCTGGGGGAAAAAGAACTCTCCTCCTTTGTTGGTGGGAGTGTAGACTTGTGCAACCACTGTAGAAATCAGTGTGGAGGTTCCTCAAAAAGCTAGGATTAGAGGTTCCAATGACTTAGCTATCCCGCTTCTGGGCATTTTCCCAGAAGAATGGAAGCATCATGCCACAGTGATATATGTGTACCCATGTTTATAGCAGCACTACTTGTAATAGTGAAATTCTGGAAACAACCCAAATGCCCATCAACTGAGGAATGAATAAAAAAGATGAGGTATTTTTATACAGTAGAGTACTACTCAGCTATAAAGAAATATTGCACTGAGACTTTATAAGTAAATGGATATAAAACCATACTCATAAGTAAAATAAATCTAACTCACATGTGTAAATATCATAGTTTCCCTAGTGTAAGAAACTGAAAGAGCATATATATGATCCAAAATCTACAATAAACACTGTATAAGAGTAAGAAACTGTTCAAAGAGAAAAAGCAATAGGGAAAGGAAGAAAGAAGGAAGGGAAAAAGAAAAAGACATAAATTTGTATGTACATATACATTAGATAGCTATAGTGACTGTACTACTAATGTATTAGTTCTTGGAAAAGAACAGTTAGTACTCATGACTAGATCAATTTTAAATGTTTATATCTGGTAATATAAGCAACCCTTTTGAAGGTAACGATATGCAATATTATAACCATTGTTAAATTCCTGTCAACCTGTTTTGAAATCCTTTCTTGGTACTGTTTTGAGTTTGTTGTTGTTGTTTGTCTCTTTTACTTTTTGTTTTTGTGTCATCTTTTTTCTCTTAAATTAAAAAAAAAAAAAGATAGAAAGAAATGACCCTGAGAAGTACTTCTTTCTGTATAGTAATTGTCTTCAGGATGACTTTGTTCTAGTGAAAATTTACAAATTTTTTTAAGATTCCATAATAACGTGCTTTGGAGCTGAGTATCAGCTGCCGCTTTTATCCAGAACACAGTCGTCCCTCTACACTTTCTGTGTTCCTTGATACTCATGTCAAAAGTCATTTTCTATTTATCATCACAAGTGCATTAACTACTTGTTACCTATAAGCATTTTAAGTTATGATGATTAGATTATATCCAGTGTATGTTAGTCTTCTGTTGATATTTGGCTCTGATATATTTAATTTGTTCTCTTATATTTTCAGAATTTTATAAAACATGCTTACATACATTCTATTAAATAAAAAGCAATATAATTACACTTCTTTTGCTTGTCAATTCCTCCTCTCCTATCCAGTATTTTCATTTTATCATTGATATATTTTTGAAGTGTGATTCTTCCTGTCCAGCCTTTGTGCTGCTACTCTAGCGTAGGCCCCATCGTCTCCTTTGGCCCTGTTTAATTGTCACCTAACTGATCTCTGCCTCTAATCACATTCCTTTTGCTTTAACCTTAGATATATTACTAGAAAGATATATCAAAGTGCAGGTGAGATCATATCACCCCTCTGTTTAAATTTTCCGTCTTCTGTGTCAGAGATTGACAAACTTTTTCTTAAAGTTTCAGATGGTCATCTTAGACTTTGTTGTTTGTGAGCTTCCTTCTACAAATACTGTTATTGAGTTGAGCTCAAAAGCTGCTATAGACAACAATATGTAAACAAAGATTATGGATAAATTCCAGTAAAATACTCAAAATGAGCCCTGCTGGGCCAGTGCTAACATTTGTTTACTTCTGTTCTGTGATATGACAGTCTCTCCCTGTCTTTTCACTTGTCTCATCTACCACCCTTATAGTTTCTTAGCTTTCTTAGAAGCACCATTAAATTCTTAAATTTATTGAGCACAGTGTATTCTTTCTGTACTCAATTATTTAAATCAAGCATTTTTTTACAAATAGCAAAATGTTAAAATATATTGATGTTAATTTTGAAATTATTTTGATATTTAATTTATGTAAGTTATTTAATTTCTTGCTGGCATCTTTGTAAATATACAGGTAAGTACTGTCTTAGATTCTAAAAAGATCTATTTTTGATAAACCTTTGAGAAAAGTCAGAACTTTGATATAATCCATGTTATAGTTCAGATACCATTAATAATACAGTCTCTGAAAATCTCAGAATGAGGTTTCTCTTGTAGGAAATAGTTTTGTTTCAACCTTTTCAGCCTTATTAAGGTTCGTTAAGCAAATTGTTTTAGGATAGTTAGTGAAAACTAAAAAATGGGTTAAGTTACTTTATATCCTATCTTCTTCACCACTGCTCCTTTTGAATTCAGATAGGAAAGCAGAAACTATTTGGTTTTAGGGTCTGACTTGGCTGAGATAAAAGACTCAAATTGCTACTGTATTTAAATTCTACTGGATCGCTCACATTTTTCCACATACAAAGAAATAATTACTTGAGACTGTGTGGTTAGTGTAGGGTTGTCTTTACTGTTAGATCAGCAGTTAGTTACATTATTGCTGATTGGAGTAATATTGTATAGAAGACAGACTTCCATTAAAGAAAAGAACTTCATTCATTCTCTAATCCTATTTAATGAAAAATGTGATTTTACAATGGTAAGTGTAGATCGGTAGTACTACTATGACGAATTTTATTAAGGTTTAGATGGTTATTAATACTGATTTTGATAAAATTTTCAATTTTTTATACATACTAATACATTAATTTAAAGCTGCACTTATTAGAATTGACTTATAAATGTTTTATGATTGATTTTTAGCCACCAGCTGAACAGGCCAAAGCCAGACTCCAACTAGTTCTTGAAGCTGCTGGTAAGTATTGATAATTGATAATTCTTAAATGAAAAAGGAAAACCTTGGCTTGTAGCATACTTATAGATGAGTCAAAGAAAAAAATTCCTTTTATTAGTCCTTACTGATTTGTAAGATATGAATAATAGATACCATGTATTACCTGAAGTAGATATTATTTCATTATAATTCTGGATGGTTATTCTTTATGTTGTTACTGATAAAATTTGTGTTTTAAAAACTTGTTTTGATGAAGTCAAATTTATTGGTTTTGTTTCTTTTGGTGGCATGTATTTTTTGACTCAACCTATAGGATTTTCTTCCTATGTTTTGTTTTTTATACTTTTATATTTAAGACTGTGACCCATTGTTATTTTTTGCAGAAGGTATAATAGTTACCTTGTAGAAGGTATGAAAGTTTTCCTTCTTTTAGAGCAAGTGAGATCAGTGTCAATAATAATTCGTCCAGTTACTTTGGACTCACTCTTTGAACTGTCCATACCACCTAATCTTAAAATGCTATAGGTTTTATTTCTAAAAGGTACAGTAATGTTATGTTCTTGATTTTACGTATGTTCAGTTTCATGTGGGCACTAATTCACCTGTTAAAAATGTCTAAGATCCAAGTTTTATTTTTTAAATACTGATATTTTACTTTGAATCTTAATGTGCTCTTTAAAAATTTATATAATTTATTCAACAATAAGTTGTTAGGAATAGGACATATTTCTTAAGATCATTTATTTTTGAAGATTTACAAAGGAATAATTTTCAGCTGGAAAAAAAACCTCAAAAGTAATTTCACCATCAACTGACAATGTCTATTGAGAAAATACAAATAGACCTATTGATTTAAGGATCTCTTGCATTAGTTCTTTGTATCCACAAACTATTCAAAGTATAAAGATTGGGAACAGAAGTCTGAATAATGTATAGATTCCCTAAATCACTAATACAAGTAACTTACTTTCTAGGTGTAAGTAGGTAATACGTTTTTTAATTGTGACTTTGAATATTTGTAATCTTCAATATAACTTTAAATACTTATTATATTTTATGTGTGTGGCTTATTCATTTCATTTTTAATTGCATAGAAAACATGATTTATTAGAATTTTGCTTGGTATTGATTTTTTCATATTTCAACTCAAATGGATATACTATAAAATAAAGCAAACATGATTCCTGTTTACATAATATGCATTCATTCTTCAGTAGCATTTTGTATTGAAAAGATATTTTCAGTTCATTATTTAAACATTAACAAATTTACTCTTTTTTTTTTTTTTTTTTTTTTTTTTTTGTCTTTTTCCTTTTTATCGGTACCGGGGATCAAACTCACGACTGCCTGCTTTGCTTGCAAGGCAGGTGCTTATGCCGCTGAGCTAAATCCCCAGCCCCAACAAATTTACTCTTAAAAAGGAAAACATTTATATTGCTTAGCCCATTAGATACTTGTTTCCATTAATATAATTTTACTAATTTTGTTTTATAAGTTTCACTTTTAATGACTTTAAAGCAAATTACAAAAGTGATATAAAAGTCCAAACCTCAGAATGTATAGTGTTTTTGTATCTATCTTCATCATCCTTTATTTTTTAATTTAACATTGGAAATTGTAGTAATGGTAAGGAGTAGGTTCTGTAATTACACTTTCAAACTTATGACACTTTTCAAATAGAAAATTTATTTTGATTGATAAGCAAAGGACAGTCCTTAGTTAAATGGGTAGCATTGCTTAATTATTTGCTTGTTATTTAAACATTCACCTCCAGATTTTTTGTCTTACCAGTACAATATAATGAACGTCTTATATACTGTCATTTCTATATTTTAGATTATTTTATTGAGGTTGATTAGTATAGAAATAAGTCTATGAGGTTACATGTCATTGGTATTTAGAAGGCCTTTTTATTCACTTGTGCTGAATTGTTTTATGAAAACATTGTACTACTTTATTTCGACTAATTATTTTACCAGACTTTGCTTTTCGATGCTTTTTCCATGAATCTATTGTTTTATAAGAAAATGTAATATATTATACCCCTTTGATAAACATGCCTTATAAAGGGGAAACAAATGGATGGACAGGGTGGTACACATAGAATATAGAGCTCAGAATATAGAGCTCAAGTATAGAACTTATCGTCAAGGTTCTGTTTTTGTGTTTTCTCTAAATTCAAGGTGTTCATTGCATTATTAAAAATGATTATATAAATGAAATGAAGGGGAGAAGGGATAAGAACAGTGTGAGTCCAATCTGGTAAGACTTACAGTTAAAGTCTAGTCTAATCTCGTTCTAAAACTGAGATAACTGGATGAGCAGCATCATTTGTCACATTGGCGTTCACTTAAATTTCCATGGCAAATGCCCTTAACTTTTGAACTTGCATATCGAACACAAAGCTACATTCTTTAGGAAGTGTGTAGGCTAAAGCTGTATGGTTGCATAACTTAACAGAGAGTATTCATATTTAGAAAGTCTACTGATTAGACTTGGGCTTTTCTTTGTTGGTGAGTTTTAAAGTGCATTTTCAGTTTCAATTGACTGATATTTGATGTTCAACTTTTATATATATATATGAGTATATGTAAAAATGAATGTTATTGAAGTTAGGTATTGATGGATTTCAGTGGATCTCTTGTGATCTCCCCTTTTCATTCCTACTTACATGGATTTGAGTGTTTACTTTTTGATAAGGTAGACTAAGGGTTTACCAATTTCATTTAATCTATCAAAGAACCAACTATCTGATTCATTAATTCTTAATCTGAGTTGCTTTAATTTCTGCTCTTTATAATTTTCTCCGATGTGTGAGCTTTGTGTTTGATTTGTTCATCTTTTTCTAGAAGTTTCAGGTTCAACATTAGGTTATTTATTTGAGCTCCTTCTGTTTTCCTGATAAATGAATTCAACACTATGTTTCTCTCACAGGACTCTTTTTCATTATGTCCCACAAGTTCCTACATATTGAATCAGCGTTATTGTTTAATTGTAGATATTATTTAATTTCCTCTTTAATAACATCTGTGACCCATTAGTTGTTTAGTAGGGTGTTATTTAATTTGCTTATGTTTCTGGTGTTTTTGGATTTCTTTTGTCACTGATTTCCAATTTCAGTGCAGAACAGTCAGATAATAGTCACAAGATAATTTCAATTCCTATGTATTTAACTAACCATGTTCTCTGGGCTATTATGTGATCTGTTTTGGAGAACATCTCATGCGCAGCCAAAAACAGTATGTTGGAACACTGTAGGCATCTATAAGTCTATTTATTCACAAGATTGGTTCCATTCTGATATTTCTTTGTTGATTTTTTTGTCTAGTTGGTCTTTTTGTAACAGCAGGATGTTAAGATCCCTCATTACTGCTGTGTCAGTGCTTATGTGGCTTTTCTTGTCTATTAATACTTGTTTTATATACTTGTTTATATATATATATATATATATATATATGACAAATATATACTTTATGATTGCATCTCTTTTTCTTGGAGTTTTCCTTTAACAAATATATAGTAACCTGTATCTCTTTTGATCAGTCTTGGCTTGAAGTTCACATTATCTGCAAATAGAATAGCTATTTGTTATTTTAGAAAATTTGTATTTTAAAGAGAATAAAACAAAAGAGAACAGAACAAAGCAAATCAGAACAGAACAATGCAAGCAACACAGCACTTCACAACCAGACAATCTGATGTCAACAGTAACTACCATAATGTCTCTTTTCTTTGAAATAGTTAAGTATACCTTCAAAAACATCAACATCAAACATAACAATATAGTATAAAACCATTCAAAAGAATGAAAGCATTACAAGACTTCAAAACCAAATAACAGGAAATGAACAATGGCTACTGTAATATCTCATTTCTTCAAAAAATTTGTCTATACCATCACACATAATAAAATCAAATAAATCACAACAGAATATAATCAGTTAAATAAAAGAACAAAAGCATGATAGGACTTCAAAGCAAGAGGATAGGAAATCAGCAATGGCTACCATAATGTCTTGTTTTCTTCAAAATAGCTGTTCATACCATCACACATACTAAAATCAAAACAGAATAAACCAATCAAATGAATGAAAGCATTATAAGACTTCAAAACAATATAATAGAAAACCATGATTACCATAATGTATGCCATTATATTCAATCTGTACTGACAGCATAAAATCTAACAAAACAAGATAGAACAAAACCAAACCTAACAAAATTTTGTAAACAATACTAGATTTCAAGATAAGAAAATAAGAAATTGACAGTAGTTTTCACCTTTCCCTCCCAGGGGTTTCCTACCTTTGCTCTTTCGTTAACAATTTTGGTTTTGGATCCCATCAACTCCTGTTTCTTATACTAGAGTTCACACGTTTGAGTTCGAACTGCTTCGGCCATGAACATGATCTCAGTTGCATCCATTTACCTACAGGAGCCTTGAGATTATTCTACTTTATAGCTGGGTAGCTTTCCACTGCATGAAATTCTATGTATTTCTTATCAATTCTGCGGTTGATGGGCAAGTTACTGCTGCTTTTTTTTTTCTTTTTGTTTTGATCTCTTGTCACATGGAACAATTGTTTTCTCTCCTTTGATTTTTAGTCTATGAATTTCCTTTCCAGTTTAAATATGTTTTTTATATACAGTATATCGATGGATCTTGTTTTTTGATCCACCCTCCTTGTGTTGCTGTTTATTGCTGACGTGAGGCCATCTACATCAATGGTTACACCCAGCATACACTGGCTTCTCTCTGCCCTGCTATCCTCCTGTTGTTGGTCCTCCATTTTTCCCCTTTAATTGCCTGTCTTGTTTGATGATCATCCTCTGCTGCTCTTCCTGAAACCATGGTCATCTTTATCTCTTTCTAGAACATTCTTTAGCACTCTGTAGGGTTGGTTTGGTAGTCATGAATTCCTTCAGTTCTTTATCATGGAAGTATCTTATTTTTCCATCAATTTTGAAAGATAGTTTTGCAGGATACATCAATCTGGGTTAAAAGTTTTCTTTCAGGGTTT